ACTTAAAGAAAAATACAACAGTAACAGGAAGTGCAGAGCTCTCAGACCGGGTACCCGCCCACCATGGTGCATGGATGCACACCTGGCTGGGTGACAGAGAAGCGTGTCCCCCTGGGCAATCTAGAAGGCTTTGGAGTCAGAAAATCTGGGTTCCTTACATACCTCACCACTCAATCTACCTAGGAATGCACCTGGCACATAGTAGGTGCTCAATAATTATTAGCCTAATGATAATATCCTAGCTGTGAGGTCTTAGATGAGTTACTTAACCTCACTAAGCCTCTGTTTCCTTATGCAAAAAGAATAATGTTGTCTGCACCTCAAAGGTTGCTGGGCTTAATAAGAAAATGTAAATGTAAACACTTAGGCACAACCTTTGGCACGCATAAACTCTGCCAAGACATATCATCACTTCACTAGGCTTCTGCACAATGTTACTGTTAGCCCGTCCTCCCCCCTCCTCCCCCCTCCTCCCCAGGCCACACAGCCCCGTGGGCAGCAGCAAAGAGCTCCAGTCCTAGTCCCTTCCCGCCCATTGTCACTTCGCTCCAAATCGGGCACGCCCAGCAGGACAACAAAAGGCCCCAACATAAAGGATGTAACCCAAACAATCCACACCAGGGAAACAAATGTCCAACAAGAGCACGGACAGAAGCAGTCCCTGAAGCAATGCAGTCACACAGCCACAAAGAGGCATTTTCCAGTTTTCAAAGTGGCAAAAATGCACTACAGGGTTGGCACCTAATGCTGTGCAGTGTGAAGAGACCAGCAGCTGTCACACTGCTGGCCACATGCTGACTCAGCACACGAAGTGGCTGCTTCACAAAGCCCGTAACAGCAGGCCCACCCTTTGGTCCGCTGGCCCCAAACCAGGAACTTACCCCAAAGAAACAAAGAGGCAGAAAACAATAATGGGCAATATTCTCCAAATGCACTTACTACGAGCCCTCTCCTTTCTTTACAATGAATAAAGAAACTCACTGCAAAAAATAAAGAAAACCTGGTGATCGCCCCCCCCAAAATTAATCCAGTGAACTGTAATAAATCAAGTGATAGAATATTATGCAGTCATTCAACCGGATGACCAGGAGATGAAGAACAAAAGGACGACGATGAAATAATGTTAAGAAAGCAGAATACAAATAAGCACATTGATAACAGCTAATAGGTATTAACTCTTGGCTCTAATCCAAACGCTCTTCTAAGAACAGCACAGTTAATCTTCACAATGACCACCCGAGATGGGTGTGCATCCCAACTTCTGTTAAGGCCAGGAAACCAGGCACTGAGAGGTTTAAGGCTACCCAGCTGGAACTTGAACCCGGGCAGGCAGCCTGGTTCCAGAGTGTGCCCTCCTGGCTCTGAGAGACCACTGTTCCCTCAAGCACCCGGCACGCTGCAAGTCGGACCAGGTACGGCTCTGCCACCCACAAGCCGGAGCTGCAGAAGTGGAAAGTACCTCTGAGGCAGGATTACGGGTGTTTTGGTGTGCTCGAACTGTCTTTGCTGCTTCACTAGATAATTAAGTTTTCATGTTGGCCTCCTTGCTTTCTGAAGTGCCAGCGGGCCTCGTGGGAAGGGAGCACTCGTGTGGGACTGGCCACACGGCCTTCTCCTGGGTGCTAAACGACGATGAGGACACATGCCCTAGAAGCCCAGGACAAAACCCTTCACCATTTCTGGGCCATCCCAGGGCGAAGGCTGCTTGGCAAAGGACTTGTCAGCTACCCCGAGCACCGAGGACTGAGCACACCCGCCCAAGCTGCAGGACAGTGCCCAGGCGGCCCCTACACGGATCACTAAATGAGGCAGGGAAGCCACTGGGCGGGGCGTGAGGGAAACGTTTACTGCTTTGGGTAGCGTGGAGTTGGGGTTCCCTTGCCAGGCTCTTCAGCATCTGTGAGAGTGGACCTTCCCTGGAATGGAGCCCTGCGTGTCACATGCTGGGACGTAATTCTCCATCCATATTTGGGTCGCTCTTGGACCCTGCTCCTGGGACTCCCTGTGTTATGGCTCAATCATATCCCTCCCAAATTCATATGTTGAAGTCCTAACCTTCAATGTGACTGTATCTAGAGGTAGGGCTTTAGAGGTAATTAAGGTTAAATGAGGTCACAGGGTAGGGCCCCAATCCCCAGGATTTCCGAGAGGAAGAGACACCAGGGACGCGTGTGCAGAGGAAGGCCAGGGACAGGGCTCTCACCAGACCCCAACCCTGCCAGCACCGCGGTCTTAGAGTTCCAGTCCCCAGAACTATGAGAAATAAATTTCTGTTTTTTAAGCCTCCTCATCTGTGGTGCTTTGTTATGGAAGCCGGAGCAAACTCACACACCCTACTTAGCCAGAGAGACACAGGAGGCGGGGGCAGGAAGGGAGCATGCACGTTAAAACGCCCCTCCACTCTGAGCTCCTAAGGACCCCGATTCCTCATCCCGAACACCCACAGGCGGGACAACCATGCTATCCTGTTTGGGCTCCCTGAAACCTACAGTCCCCGCAGAAAGCAAAGTCTCCCCCATGCACAAAATCGCATCCACAAACCACATTATACAAAATATCGAGTGTCAAAATATGGACACGGTGACATATGTCCTCAGAGATTTGATTGTAAACCCTAGATATGTCTCTACTTGCCAAAGACACAAAATAAAATGGGATTTACATTTTTAGAAAACTGTTTGAGTAAAAATAAGAAAACCCATTTACATCCCTGCCATCAGCACAACTCAAGTGTGTGCAGAGCAGCCTCCCTAGTGAAAACACACAAGCAGGGCCGGCCACTTGCTCAAAGACAGAAAAGGGCAGAGCAAGACCCACAGGCCGAGATCTCTGTAAACCCCAGAGAGCAGCTGACAAAGCAAACCACCGACCTGAGAGGGCGGGACCTCAGCTCAGGGAGCAGGAAAGCTACTGGGCAGCATAACGCTGGGTACCCGCTGGGCTGCATGAAGACGCCTGGACCCTGCACACACACCTAGAACATCTCAGATGCCCACAGAGCCTGGTATTCATGTCCCCAGTCTCAGGGTCACTGTCCTTTTCAAAAAGAAAATGGAAATAAGGCAAAAACCAGTGTTCTTCAGAGTGGCTGCACCTAGAGACAGAGTCAAGTCTCATCCCTCCACGCTGAGGTGCACCCACATAAAGAGAGGGCGCCCCAGGCACTGGAGAGACAGGCGTTAAATGACAGTGATCAGGGAAGATGCCTCCCTTCCCCTCTCCAATCCTCCTCATGACTTCGGGAAAGCTACCCGAGGTGGCACGAGGCCGGCCTCCACACCTTCCTAACGCTTCTCGCTCACCGGCCTCTCTTCTTAACAGTGGTCTCAGTCACAACCGCGGACAGGCAACGACATGGAGGCCACTTTGTAACACTGTTTCCTCCTCAGTGTCCTTCTTTCTACAGTTACCCACGACTTAAGTCAACTCACTGTGGCTCTCCAGTCACAGTAATCACATAAACTCTCCTTGTTAAATAAAGACTTCCAAGTTTTTTAAGCATGTGTTCAAAAAAATTACAGGGTAAGTTAAGTAGTACCATGGATAGAGAAAAAAAAAAGTAACTGAAATTTGAAGACCAGCAACCTCAAGGTTCTCCTGGCCTGGGTGCCCCACCCTAGGTGGTCCGAAAACATCTGCCCGGCTGAACTCCAGCCCAAGGACCACCCTGGAAAACGACACACTTCCACCAAACAGAGGGAGGCTGGTCGTTCCCACCACACCAGCCTCACAGTGCCTACTCATTCCCTCCTTCGCCCTTCAGTCAGAGAGCACTGGTTTTCTCCCAGACACCACTCTTCCTTCCTTGACACTGGAAACTCTCATTTGGAGGTGGGGGCGCCGTGCCTCCGGGGCCACAAGATGGCTGTGCCTGGCCATCCAGCTGGGACAGGGCGAGCACGAGCACCTTCTAGGAAGGGTCCTGACAGCTGGGAGGGAGGGTGTCGCCTTTTTCGTACCACGGACGGCTCTGCAGTCTGCTAAAGCACATGGGACTCATCTCAGGAAAAATGTTTCAAATTACAATACAAAAAATAAGACACAAGATTACAAAGCAAACTGATTATATTGCAATGGGAATTATCAAAATGTAAAAAACAAAACTGTATAATAATATATAGGACTCTTTATTATCACATTTAAAAACTACCAATTTTCAAGCAGAAGTGACATTCGGGGGTTTTCTTCACGTCACCGCTGTTGCGGGTGCCTGTGATTTCTATCGGTGACACGGTCCGCCATCTTCTAACCATTTTCTATGGTTTACTGCTCTTCACAATTAGGAAGATGCTGAATTTCAATCGGTGGCGACAACTTTCTTCCCTGTGTACACCCAGACCCTCGAATCCTGTCCGGGGAAATGGAGGATGCCCCCCTCGCCCCACTTCTGTCCGGCTACCTGGGGTGAGAACAGGACGGCTGCAGCCGAACCAGCCATGTGGGCTCTACAGTGAGCCAGGACCCTAGACCCCGATGACCACGAGCCGCAGGCCAGCCCAGCCTGCCCTCCTCTGGATGGATATCTCTATCTCGCTAAGAAACGGCTGGCTCATTCTCTACCATGTAAAGCCACTCAAACCTGACCTTAATTCTATTTCTCTAATACTACTTCTGGGTGGTGAGGTTAGAAACGGCTTGAACCTGATAACTGGCAACTTTCATTCATCTTTGAATGATTTTCCTCCAGAGCTACGAAGGACAACCAACTAAAACAGTTCCTCTGTAGCTGACAGCCTTCTATGAGGCAAACCCCAAAACCATGAACAACAGAAGACGTCACTCTAACTCAGTGTTGCTCAACTCCGGAAGCGTGTTCTTGACAGCGTACACAAGCCCAAGCATCACATGTAAATCGCGCATCACACTCCAAGTCCAAGACCAGGGATACACACATTTTGCAAAGTCCACAGTCAGGTGGGAGCGAAGACAAAGGCACTGCCATGACGTACACGCCCAGAAGTCATCCCTGTATTGCTGGAGGCAACTCAGAAAGTACTTACTAATCGTCATCGACTCTGGCACGGAGGCAGAAGGTAACAGGCTGCTCAGAGGACTTCCTTGGCCTGGGGAACTGGCTTCCACACTGGGAAAAGGCAGGCAGAAGAAGTTATACTTGGCCACTTAAAACGCACAACCCACCATTCAAAACCTAACTGGTGCTAAGTCTACTCAGGTACGTCTAGTAGAAGGCACAGAAGGCGGCCCTTTGGAATCCTCATTATCTGCAATTCCTATTGACAAATTTACCTGCTCACTAAAATTTACTTGTAATCCCCAAATTAATATTCCCGGTGCTTTCGCGCTCGCCCAGATGTGCATGTTCCCGGTGACACCAACAAAGGGAGCTCTGTCTTCTTTAACTATCATACTGCAAATGTGTCTGTTGGACGGGTTATTTAGTGCCACATTTTTCACATTGCTTGGTGATTTTGCTGTTTAAAGTGGCCCGCACGGTGCTAGAGTGCTGTCCGGTACTCCCAAGCACAAAAAGGCTGGGATATCCATTGTGGGGAAAATACACGTTAGGTAAACTTTTGTTTAAGCATGCGTTACACTGCTGTTGGTCATGAGTTCAGCATCAATAAATCAACAACATACGTCAAATGAGCTGTCGTAAACAAGGTTATGTATTGACGAACTGACAAAAATGTTGCAACGAGAGGCCCGAGGCTTGCAGGAGCCTAGCCCTGCACTTCCCCCTGGAGTGGTGGTTCACCCTCAGAGCAGTTTGTAGAACACTGCGACCACAAATAATGAGAACTGACAGTGTATTTACAAAAGAATTTGCAGCATGGAAAAATGACACATCTTCCACAAAAACAGCAGGGTTGCAGCATGGTTAAAACACACACACACACACCTGCTACTATGCAAAAAGGGGCCAAAATATCAACCATGAAATAGAATTGGGAGTTATAAAGTGATTTTTTTCCATTCAATGCTGCATTTTTCATTTTTCTAACATAAATAGCAAAAAGGAGTCAGAGTCCTGGATGGGTCTGGGGGCACTGATCCTCCCTGACATCACACTAATTGGTACAAGCCCCCAGCCGACATTCTCAGAGAGCAGAGCCCCTCCACAGGGGCGAGACCACAGCACCCGCCTGGCACAGGCAAAGGCGGCTCCTGGCCTGGAGCTCAGGGTGCGAGTGCAGATGTGACACCTCTCTGAAACACCAGAGTAAACCGTAAAGAGAAAGGAGAAAAACACAACAATAGCAGCAAGCACCGTACGTAAGAGAGACTTCGCACTGCCACTGAACAATGACTTTGAGTTGCCCAATGACTTTGGGCAACTCAACAATCTCCGAGATGCTTGAATTTAAAAAGGGAAAGCCTGTGTGGTACTTACTACTATATGCCAGACTAAGCGCTTCATAAGTATATGATATTTAAGCAGCTTAAATACTATATAATATTAATTACTCGATATTATCCTCAAATATTAAAACTGACAAACAGTGACAGAGGAGGCACCCATATATGTCTCCGAAAGTATACAAAGTAAAGGTGGTATGCAAATGAATTTGAACAAATCCTGTTTCTTCTCGTCTCTCATGCTCTTTAACCCTTGACAACCTCATGCTCTGTGATGTGAAGACTAAACCTGGGCACAAATGAGGCCCTGCCCTTCGATCCTAGCAGATGCCCTCCTATCTTTAAAAAAGAACAAAATGCTGAATAAAATTCAATCCAAAAAGCAAGGTGGTTTCTGAGTACTCACCTGTACCGAGGTCCAGGCTCTGGGAGCACTTGGTCCTCGGGGCCCGTCCCGTTCTCCAGGCTTCCGAGGGGGGCATCTGTGAACAGAGAGAGAGTCAGGCTTCTGCTTTCATTTCATTTTCTCCATGAGACAAGGATACAATGCAGACTGCTAAACCAGTTGGCTTAGAAATTCTTTCCTCATCAGTAATTGGATTTTTATCTGTTACCAGTTTCATTTTTTTGGCCATAATCTCAGATTTTCATCAGTCACTGATAAAAGGTCCTAACCTTTTTTACTTAGCCACCTGGAATTACCCATGAAGTCCACAATCACAGCCAACCTCAGAATCAGAGAAAAACCAACTGTTGCACAAAACAGCTCCTGCCTGTAGTGGCTCAAGATGGACACGAGAGGGCAGCACAGACTAATCGCTGACTGTGTCTGCTCAGGCCAAAACAAAGTGACTGCCTATTTCTAGAAGGCCACTTGCCTGCATTCAGTGCCATGTGGGAATGGCACCTGGAAGAAGTGAGGCTACCGATAGTCTCCGGAAACAGTAGGCAAGTGACACTAAAGATTTTCATAAATGTACTAGCTGCTATTCAAGTTTCTTTCCAGGAAAAGGTACAAATATTACATCCGGTAGGCTAGATGGTGACATTAAAGTCAGTTTCACTCACGTTTGCTCACAACGTTTGGTGAAACTTCTGGCATGTCAATGCCCACCACAGCGCCAGGCCTGGGTGGGGACGGCACAGACGCGGAAGGGCGCGCATCCGGTTTCCCCGAGCCTCCCCTCCCGGCCTCCTCTGCGCCATCCCTCCGGTTCCGTCCTGCTCAGGACCGCCCAGCTCTTCAGGGACTGAACTAAGAGAACTCTAAAGGAAAATGGTTTTTCACCTTTTCCTTCATCCCACTGTCACCCTCAAGCTATTCCACTTGCTCCTACCTCTCTCAAGAAGTCTGAAGAGGACAGAGAGTGTGTCTGCTTGGCCACCTCCCCTTCCTTGCTCCCTGGTGTTATGGCTTATTTAGGAATGAGGGCTCTGCCTGGGTTCAAGCCCTGCTCCCAACCTTAATCGGCAAGCTACTTACACTCTTGGTGCCTGGGTTTCTTCATCTGTGAAATGGGATGACACTCCTGCCTACCATGCAACACTTAAGTAATGCCCACCACAGGATAAAATTGCAACATGTGTAGAACTCAGTGGGAATACTCAATGAGTCAGTGTTAGCATCAGCACATTCTGTAATGGCAGGCTGTCATCTTCCCAGTCAACTGAACTGCACTCAAAGGACCCCAAGGAACGCTCCCCTGAGTGCCCCTCCCACCTTCCTGTGGCTCAGGACAAGGTCGAGCAAGCACTCACCCTTGGAGCACTTTCACAGGTGTCATAACAGTGACCTTCGGTCCTCCTGCCCCACCACCTCTTCCTCCGATTCCTAAGCAAAGGTGTCCCTGAATCACAGCTCTGTGGCCTCTTTCCCCCTGGCAAACCCAGCAAGGCCTTCGTTGTAGACTTTGCCTCTGTGAAGGTGACAACTCTCAAGCCCTCACCCCTGGCTAGAAGCTGAGCCTTGAGTCCTAGTCCCACGTTTCTAACTGCCCACCAGAAATCTCTACTGGGATGTCCTACAGGGCCTACCAACTGATCGTGACCTTCAAAACCACACCTCTTCTGTCTCCACTTCCCACTGGGCTATAACCTCAGAAAAAAGGGGCACTCACCGTCCTCCCATCGCAGCATCCCACTGCAGCGCCACGTGCTGCCCAGGACCTGCCAGTTCCACCTCACTGCCTCCCACTCCTTGCCTACAAGCCGTTCTCACCCTAGTTCAAAGGCCCGCTTCCTCCTAGGGCAGGGGCGTCAAACTCATTTTCACCGGGGGAAGTGCCACATCAGCCTTGCGGTTGCCTTCAAAGGGCTGGATATAATTTTAGGACTGTATAAGTGTAACTACTCCTCAACTAGGTGCAAGGAGCTCTACATTCAGACTTTTGGAGGCAACCACAAGGCTGATGTGGCCCCTGGCGAAAATGAGTCTGACAGCCCTGTCCTAGGGGTCTCCTGCAGCAGGCCACTCAGGTCTGCCTCACCCTCTCTAATCCGACTCACACACAGCTTTCGGACTACACTCCATGAAGCAGAGATGAGAGGACTCCAAGACACACGTGGAATCCCCCAGCTGGAGTAAAGGCCAACGTCACCCACCAGCACCCCAGACACAGCACTGGCTTGGTCCAAGCGAATTTCCCTTCATAACACACAACCACAATCAGCTGCAGATGTAGTGGGCCTGAGGCACTGGAGCCACAGAGCGGTCAGAGACCCAGGCCATCTCGCTCATCCTCGACGTCCCTTCTCACGCCGGGACTATGATTATCTTAATTTTATAAATGAGGAACCAGACCTCAAGGATTTGAGTTACTTGTCCAGTATCACACAGCTGAAGTATGAGGATGTGAACGTCTGCCCAGTGGCAGAGCTGAGTCTTGCCCACTTTAGTCTCTCTCATTCAGTTGGTCTGAAATAGCTGCTTTTCCCTCTACAGGTTCCTGGCACTCCTGTGCCATTCCTCTGTCCACACTGTATCCCTAACCAGATATCATTTTCCAGCTGCCAGATGCCCACACCCCTCCTACTGCATCCATCCATCCACTCACAGCTCAGCAAAGGCTTTCTGGACCCCAGCTGTGGGCCTGGCTCTGGACAGGGTCACACTTGAATCAAGACAAACATCTTCCCTATTCTCGTGGACCTCAAAAACTAGTGGGGAGTCGGGCACAGGTATTATCAAGTAATTACCCAAATACACCATCACAGACATAATCACAAAAATAGAGAGCAACGTGGATATGCCAGATTCACAACAGCATAAAACATGAGGCCTGGCCTGCCTGGGCAGTGGGGCACAGAAGCCTGTTCTAAGGCAGCAACATGGGATGCGACTAGAAGGACGTGCTTAGGCAGGGTAAGCAAGGCAGGAGGAGCTTGAGGACTGAAATGACACCAGGAGCAGCGTAAGGAAGTGGAAGCGGAGCAGTGTGGCTGGGACACTGAGTGAAAGGGAAATGGGAGGAGATGAAGCTGCTGGAGCAAGCTGAGGCCTGGGCAGCCACAGTGAGGATTCTGGATTTTATGCTAGAATTATTTTATCCTACCTGGATTTTGGAACAGGGGGGAAAGGCAATTTGATTCGTGTTCTATAAAAGCACTCTGGCTGCTGAAAGAAGAATGGACGGGGCCGGGGCCAGGAACAGAAGTGGAGAAGGCTGTTGGGAAGCTCCTCTGCTACAGCCCAGGCAAGAGAGGGGCTGTTAGAACCAGGTGGTGAAAACATTCAAGGTACACACTTCACCCATTCACTCCTCTCTCCTTTACATCGGGTGATTCAAATGATGTTCCCTGTCTCCTTCTCGCTGCAAAACTCCAGGAGGGACTCACCTTGGATGCCCAGAGCCTGGAACAGTGCTGATGCAGAATGGCATCACCCACTCACTGAGCAAAGAAACCCAGGAGTCCTAAGTAGCACATGACCTACGTAATGGGGGTAGAAACCATGCAATGCAGGCCCTGTGGTCCCTCGTTTCCTGACATTCCAAACGGTAAACTTAGTCCCTGGGAGCAAAGCTCTCAACTCAACCATCTCAGGTCAAAACAATGCTACCACAGACCCTCCTCACCCTCAACAAGCAACCCCTGAGACTCGATGTCAGGACGAAAAGCTGAAGACCATACGACCTGATGGGAGGGGCGGTGTTGGGGGCCTGAGGTTTCTAATGAACTGCACCCACCGGAAATAGCCTCTGCACTTGCTCAGCCCAACAGTAAAAGCAGGCCCCATAGTGAGGGCCGGGCAGCGCAGGTTTCCCATGCGCAGTGAGTAGTCACCAGGGCTTTGTTCGCCCCACTGGTCATTCTCGGGTGAAAAGAACTTCGGGTGCTCCTTCCCTTCCAGCCACAGAGAAACATAGGTAGATAAAGATGCTCTGCTCTGTTGTAAGTAATGTACACACCCTGGGAATGACAGCGTGTCCAATCCTCCACCTGCTTCTCGGGGACTCACGTGACCCTGGTCTGGCATCTCCCTTAGCTGAGTGAGCCCCTCCCTCACCTGAGAAATTCAGCCCGAAGCCCAGCCCTGATACCCAGAACCACCTCTTCCAACATTCGGAAGGATAAAGATTCTGTGTCCAGGGTTCCTTTCTCTGCTGCTCTCTCCCTCCCTAGACTTAGCTACCAAAACATCCACCCTTCCCTGCTGTGTCCCTCTCCCCACTTTTTATCCTCCTCCCTCCCTCCCTCTCTCTCTAAATATCCCAAAGGCGGTGACAGCAGAGGCACTAACATTTTCAAAGACGGTGGGAAAGTCTCCTAAGGCAGGAACCTTCTGTGTGCAAAGTCACCACTGACTACACGTAACGGCCTCCGGGCCTCACTGAGAGAGACCAGGTTAACACGCTCTACTCGGGGGTGTCAGTCCCCGGGAACGCCAGTCGGGAACGGAGGGAAAGGGAAGGAGTCAGAAAACCCCTTGGCCGTGCCCAGTGCTGCCCAGGGGAGGGTCCCCCGCAGGCGGGCCGGGCCTGGCACCACCTGGGCCACACGCCTGCCGTGGAAACGGGGCCGGGAGGGACTGGGTGCAGTCTGGCGTTCCAATCAGGCAGCGCATTCCCCCAGCTCTGGTCCTAGTGTCTTCGTGCAGCCCAGGATCACTTTTCTCCCAGTGCCGTGTTCCTACTGACATTTGCCCCTCAGGTGATGATCACAAGCTTCCATGAATCCTGACAGCTTTGTTATTGTAGTAAAATTAAAAGTTGGCAGACTGGCTCCCACCAGCAACTCTGGCAAGGGTAACCAGATGAGCTGCAGCTTGGGCCCCACCAGCAGTGACAGGATGGAGCCTCTGGGTCTGCGAGGACAACGGTCAGAGGTGGCACTGGGGAAATCTGCCAGGGGATGGCTTCTCTTGAGGATCCTCCAGGATCCTAGAAACCGGCCAGAAACTACTTCCCCCCGAGACACTGATCCACAGAAAGCCCAGAGGGAGGAAGACTGCTGGGTTCTACGGGACCAAACGCCAATCTGAACGGCAAACAGCATTCTGGAGCAGCCAGCCATCCTCCCCCAGCATCTGACAGTTAGAGAAGCCCAGTTAAAAGATGAAAAAGCCACCAGAAACAGAACAGACTGTCTAGTGCATGCACCTAACATCCCAGTAATACTTCACAACCCAGCTGAAAGGTCCCCTCCACTGGGGAGCAGGACCAGGCAAATGGAAACCTGGGCCATGACTTGAAAGCCATGGACAAACCCGAGAAACTCTCCAGTGTCCTAGACTTGCACAGGACCCCCTGCTCTCTGCAAACCGCAACTCACGTCTCAGTCATCCTGCCCACAGCTGCACTGCCACTGTATGAATAGTAGGCAAAGCAACCCAGGACCAGCCCCTGAGTGAAAGGAGAGAAACAGTGCAGCCCGGCCTGCAGGCGTGAGCAAGGCCTGCCAGACTGCCCGCCTCTCTTGGGGATTTCCACTGAGCCCCCGAGAGAAGTGCTGGGATGGAAGGTCACAGGGCCGAGGCAATGGTGTTGGCACCTCAGCCAAGTACAGGCCAAAAGGGGAGGGAGTAAACCTGATAAGGGAACAACACAGACCAGCAGAGAGGAGGTTTCCCGTGCAGAATGTGGGGCACAGAATGAGAAGGACAGCTGGACCTCGCCAGGTCAAGGGTCCTCTCCGTTCCAGGCCAGCTCCCAGGCCCGCGACTGCCCACAGGATGCCCTGTGAGCAACGTCAGCAGTGAGCTGCACCCCTTCCCACAGGAACTTAGGGAACCTTCACCACAGATCTGAGAGGACGGTGGCAACAGAACGACTCCCCCTTCCTCCTAGGCTATGGTCAAGAATGAATGACTGAGTCTATCCCGTCGGTCACCTTACAGCAGGGGTCCCCAACCTCCGGGCCACAGTACCAGCACTGGTCCAGGCCTATTAGGAACCAGGCCACGTGGCACGAGGTGGGCTTGAATGTAATGTGCTTGAGTCACCCCAAAACCATCTGTGCTCCCCACACCCATCCATAGGAAAACTGTCTTCCAGGAAACTGGTCCCTGGTGCCGAAAAGGCTGTGGACCACTGCCTCACAGTCCTGGACTCACTTCAAGGGCTTGCTAAGTGCTGGCCACATTATCGCTGCCATCCACTTTCCAGAAGAGGGGACTAGCCCGGGGGACATGAGTCACTTAGCCACGCATGTACATTAACCTCCGTGTAAACCAGGAATATGCTGCTCAAGAGCAGTGCCCTGCTCCAGTTCCCAAACCTTCCCAGAGCTGCGACTGATCTGACCCCCAGTCTCAACTGCTGCCAGTGCCGGTCAGCAGCCCCGCCCCCTTCACACGAGCTAGTTTGAGTGGGTTTCTGTTCCTTGCAGAGTGACAAGTACAACTTTCTGTCATCCAGTGCAGAATGTCAGCAGCTTCCTGAGCAGCTGGTGGGCCCCTGTTACAGTTTCTGAAACCTGGCCCTGGGAAGATAAGAAGGGGACTCGGCGGGTGGGGGTCGGGGGAACTGAGGCCCCGCTGCCTTGATGGTACTGTGGGGAAGTGGCCAGCACTAAGTCGCTATGGCACTTCACACCCACTCTTCTGGGCGAGCTGGGCTCCTGCACGTGCCCCCGCCACCACCACTCCCGAGCCCTGCCCCAGCTAGGGAAGGCGACAGCAAACCACCCACAAGTTGCTCAACAAGCAGGCAACGGGTCAGAACTGCTTATCCACTCCACAGGCGGGTTTTAAGCGAGCTACTCCCTAACCCCTAAGCACTTGGCTACAGAGGGTGCCAGGGCCTTTATAGCTACGGGTTCTGTGGTCTCCCTTCTCCTAAGAGGCAAAAATAATGGTCATCATTTGTGGTCAGCTTGCACACGATCAAGTTCGACAATCACTGGCAAGAAAAGAAACAGACTGGAGGGCTCCCTGGTGATGCGCCAGCTCATTCTGCCCAGCAATCACTCAGGTGAAAGTACCTCAACATACCCAGGTCCACGAGAAAGGAAGCCAAACCCTCAGTCACTCTGAATCTCAACAACGGGCCCTCCGGCTCTGAGCCCCAGGCCTCCTTGTTCCCACTCCCCCTGGTAAAGGTGACCCAGACGCTCCTGCAGTTCTTAGAGCCAAAGCTCGTACTGGGGGAAAAGAGCAGTCAGGAAACACCCACCTGCAGGGCTGAAGGAGCCCACTCTGCTGACCGGAAAGAGGACATCGGTGTCACCATGCAGCACCTGCAGCGGAGCCCAGCTGTGCATCTGGGAGAGGCAGGTGTTCCCATCCAGTGGCCTGTGATGAAAGAACACAGCTGTGTGAAAGGGCAAAGGGCCCCTGCGGGCTCAGATCACCACAAGCAACTGCTGGGCCTCCCAGCGGTTCTTTCCGTTGGGAACAAGTTCTTTCTTGGAAACTGACCAGACCATGAAGGCACTGGGTATAACAGGAGATGCAGGCAGGAGGCAGGAGATGGGGTCTGGAACCAGACCCTTAGCACTTGTTCTTTCAGCCACTGTTTACTGAGTACCTACTATATGCCAGGTGGTATACAGCACATACATTTTGTGCTGGCAAAAGAGCCAGCACATGGTGTTTATCCTACACTCACAGAGCTTAATAGTCTGCTGGGAACACAGACATGAATCAAATAATCCCACTAGAAGGTATAAAATGGCAGCTCAGCTTTGTGGTTAGTCAGGAAGGTCATGGAAGTCTTCCTGGAAGAGGGTGAATCTGGGGTGAGGGCTGAAGGAAGCACAAGAGCTACCTGAGTGAAGAGGCGGGACAAGAGAGACAGAGCGGGAGGGACAGCATGTGCACAGTGCTGAAGGAAGAAGCATGGTGTGTTCCAGGGTCTGAACAATGGCAGTCACATGACCTTGGGCTGGCATCACTTGGCCTGACTGGTTCTCAGACCCTCTCGGGTAAAAGAACAGAATCAGACCAGAACCTGTCTGGGTCCCTTCCAGGAAAGGAAGTCAGCTCAAATACTAACCAGGCTCATGTGCTCTGTTATACTGTCACCATATCCACTAAGTATAAAACGAACCTGTGTGAGCTTTGTAATTAATACCAGGCTGCCTCACTTACATTTGAGAAACCACTGGCCCACAGCAACATTTGCCTCTGGGCAATTAGAAAACACTAATAAATACTGGGATATATTTGTGCAGTACTTTAAAGACTATATAATCACTTTGTAACTCAGGTGTAAAGAACAAATCAGATCATAATCATACCTACTTAATTGGGGAAAGGAGGGAGGAGGAGAAGGAGGGAAAAAGGTGAGGGAAGTACATGGAAAAGAGAGGAAAGCGGGGAGGAACGGGAAGGAGGAAGGAAGGGAGAGAGGGGGGAAAACTCAGAGACTTGGGTCCAATACAGTCAGCCTTGAGGACAGACCAAGGCTTGTGGAGGGTTCAAGCACAGGTCTCCCACATCCGATAACAATGGATGTTGTGGCTACTGTCTACCATGACATGATGCAAAGAGTTTTTCTTTCTTTCTTTAGAGCAGCAATCAACCAAATTTTTTGTAAAAAAAAAAACAGATTGCAAACATTTTAGGCCTTGTGGCCACACTTACTTTTCTTTGGGTTTTTTGTTTGTTTTTTTAACAGCCAACCATTCCTAGCTTGAGGGGGTCTGGCCCTCAGGCGCAGTCGGCCACCTCCTTTGTCAGACACCATCACGCAGACACTCTGCTCTCAGCCCTTCCCAGCTTTTGGTCACACATCTGACACAGACCAAAAGTCCACAGAATTTTGCAAAATGTTTCATTTAAGCCTGCAGGTAATACACACAATAGGACTCTCAGATGGCACTCTAGGGGTCAAAAGAGGAAGCCCAGTTCTTAGATGAACTTGGCTGTGCCCTAGAATCTGTACAGACCTGCTCTGGCAGGGCTCCAATCTTGCAGCAGGTGACAGGGGCGGTCAGGGCACCCTCAGGAGAACGCAGCCAAACCACCAGTCCTTCCCTCCACACTGCACTTGCTCCAGGGGCGTGGGATTTTCTGCCGTTTCGGAGGGGAAATCCTGCCACTTCCCAGCAGGGTGCGAGGTGAAGCCAGGCCCCAGCAGCTGAGGTTGGGAAACCAAGTAAAAGTGGCCAAGAGCCACCACCTCTAAAGAAAGTTACACTGAAGTGACTCCTGAGGCAGAGAGCAATTCAGAACATGGTGCCAACATTGGCCTAAAAACATAATAGCACCTGTTGCTTTTCATTAGAAAAGTGAAACACATTTAAAAAACCATGAAAATGTTAAAAAAAAAAAAGGAGGGAAAAAATATATACCTAAAGCCACATTACTCAAAGCACAGTTGATTTAGATACCATTTCCTTAGTGTCTTTTTCCTTTCTTTCTTATACTTACTTTTCTTTACAAGGTCATAAGGAAACTAAATGTAGAATTTTATATTTGGCTTTTCTCATTCAATATTAATTCACAAGTTCATCTTCATACTACTTGGATACTCTTAAATTTCATTTAAGAGGTTTAAGATCCTAAACATTATAACCTTAAGGTTTAGCTCTGGCTGGTGTGGCTCAGTGGATCGAGTGCCGGCCTGAGAACCTAATGGTCGCCAGTTCAATTCCCAGTCGGGGCACGTGCCTGGGTAGTGGACCTGTTCCCTAGATGGGGGCACATGAGAGGCCACCGCACACTGATGTTTCTCTCCCTCTCTTTCTCCCTTCCTTTCCCTCTCTCTAAAAATAAATAAATATATAACTTTAAAAAAAATGTTAAGGTTTAAACGATGGAATACTCTGTTAACTGTTCCCCTGGGTTGCGTATTTAGGTCAGTTACAATGTTTTGCTTCTCTAAGTAAGGGCTTTGGTGTCCAGATGCAGCAACCTTTTTCCTGGGACTGCCCTCAGGGTAGGTCCCTGGTGGCGTAATTGCTGAATCGAGTGAGATAAGCGTTCTTAAGGCTGCGGGCATGGGGTCAGACTGTTTTCCCAGAGGGCTCTCAACATCACCACCATCTATGAGGATGCCCCTGTGCCGGCCCTGCCACACCTTTCATCCCACAGTTAATGCCCACTGTGGGCCTGGAAGACACCAAGCCTGAGGACGCCTTGAAAACAAGCAACCCCCGGGGCACTCCGCCAGGGTTCACCTTCTTTTTCCAGTTCTCACTTTAAATCCTGGCAGATATGACAGGTCTATCCTGATATCTGGTTTCACTTTGCATTTGCTTAATTGCTAGTGAGGTGCAACATTTTTCCATATATTTGTAATTCTTTCTGAACTACACCCCACTTCCCTACTGGCGTCATAGGACACATATGAAATGATAGAAAAACTCCTTTCTAAAATAAAAGTATTACCCTCTTTTAAAAAAAAAGACAAAAAAATCAAAGCCAGCACTCGTAAATATTGAGGTAGGAGGGATGTCAGTAAGATTTTTCTCAGTCATCAATGAAATGGTTTAATTGCTAGCATACAGGCGAAAAACCCAACTTTTGGCCAACAGAGCATCTTAGAAAGTGACCACAGCAGTGACGCTGCCAGAGGCCGTGGCAGTCCACACTGTGTGTGCTTCTCCTGGCCTGACCTGGCAGCTTCCCCTCACAGACCTAGACACGCCATGAAACTACTCAAGTTCTGGCCCCTCCAGGCTTCTAGACCTTTCATGTGAACATGATCTTAGAATCAAAATGAAAGTTTTACTCAAGAGGCCACTTCATCATTCCTCTGCTTGTTCCCCAAGATGCTCTGCAGAATGTTCACTCGAGACCCCCCTTTACACCAGGAGAGGCTGTCCACAGTCTGCAGGAGGCTCACAGGCATCAAAGGGCCAGGCCTCTGTGAAGGTCACCCTGTACTGTTTTGTGTTTCACACATCACAATGCCGGCAGCTACCTTGGCTTGCAAGGTGACCTCCCCTCCATACTCCCATCCATGCTACCAGTCCACTAGGAGAAGAAATGACTGTATTTGAGGCCAATAAGAACCCATGAAGTGAATCAACTTAGAGAAGCACTCACCCACAGAGACACAGAATGCAAGTGGCATTTCCTAAAAGGCCCTGATGAAGACTATAAGTGTGATGGTTCATTTTAAGGGTCAACTTGGCTATGCCACAGTACCAGACATACAATCAAATGCTATTCTAGATGTCCCTGGAAAGGTATTTTTCAGATAACATTAGCGTTTAAATCAGTAGACTTTAAGCAAAGCAGACTACCCTCCACAGTTTGGGTGGGCCTCATCCAATCAATTAAAGGCCTTAACAGAGAAAGATTGAGGTTCCGCAAAGGAAAGTGTGCCAACAGACAGCCTTTGCACTCACGCTGCAATTCTTCCTTGCGTCTCGGCCGGCCAGCCCACCTGCAGGTTCCAGACCTGCCACACTTCCATGACCACATGAGCCAATTCCTTAAAATCAGTCTCTAGATAAATACACAGAGACACACACACTCTACTGATTCTGCTCCTCTGGAGAACCCTGACTCGCACAGCCTATCAGCAAGACCTGGGTCCCAGGAAGAAAAATATTCACAGCTGGTCAGCAAAACAAGCTGCAGGGAAGCGATTCTAACACGTTATTTGAGGAGGGGAAAAAAGCCTTGTGTGTGGAAATGTTTATTTTAGAATGCGAAAACGAAGATGCCAACAACCTAAATACTAAGCGAACCTTTAGCAAATCATAACATATTGATCTGACTGTAAATCAACCAATCAATACCCAGGGTTATGGAGAAACATGGAAAATATTCCAGAGTACAGGGGTGGCAAAAGAAGATTTATCAATGTGAATATGGGAAACACAGTTTATTCTTGTACTTTTACTTATTAATTATTGTGTTGTTTGCCATACTCACAACTGTAAACCTACTTTGCCCACCCCTGTATAAGCTATGGAACATAGCATAATTTAACCTTAATCCCAGCTTTGCTCAATGTTTTGACAAACCTCAACTCTCTACAAATCCTATTCTTTCATCCATCAAGCGGGGGTGATATCCACCAACCTAAGGATCAGGATAAGGTATATACATAGCTTTTAGCATCTGGCATACCCCAGACGATCAATAAGGTAACACTGCTAAGGTAATACCGGTATCCATGGGAATGAGGGCCAGGGGAACAAAAACAGAAACAGGCACAGTCTCGTGAGAAAGAAAAGAAAAACTCCTTTTAAAACAACAAGAAACTGAAAAGCTTAGGGCTAAGACACACTGTGTCCCTTAATCATAAAATGGGATCTCGAAATATCTATTTCACTCTCATGGGCTTGAGACAGGATAGTAAGAAGCTGGGGAAATTGCTTGGCAAATGGAACAGAGAAACAGATGGCTGAACACCGTGGTCAAGGAATTTGCAGCCAAGTGCAGAGGGTCACCAGGGCAGAAGGCTCCCAGTGCCTGGCAGGGGGCAAAACTAGGAAAATAAGGACCTCACCTCCAGGGTAACCTTTCCTCCCTGGCCTTTCATCCCTGGAGATGACATCTAGGACCCAGTGGTTTCCAGTTCCAGGCCCAGTAAAGCAGCAAAACCAGAACCAACTGCAAAAACTAAAGACCCCCTGCCCTGTCACTGACCAGTCAGGGGAGACCAGGCCCTGAAAGGGCACACCTGGAGAACTGATGCATATTCAGCTAAAACCCTCCCCTGAGACTTCCCCTAAGATTCCAGCCTGTAAGAAAGAGATAAAAGCCTCAAGACAAAGAGTCCAGCCCTTCCTTTCTTATCCACCACCAACAGCCACCCCACCATCTTCCCACTTCTTTCTTCGCAGGCACATGTCTCCTAAACTCTAAAGAAACAAGCAGCTGGCAGTTGGTCCTGGGCTGATCCCCTGAGCCTCTCTCTTCCCAAAGCCCCCTTTTCTGACTTCCCAGGGAGCTAAGGCAGCCCAGCCTAGGCTCTCTTGTTGCTTCTTCTATGCTAAGCCCTTCCTTGTATCTTAAGTCCCCAGCTTTAATAAATATATCCTCACGGTAACTTGGACTTGTGTTGTGAAATCTTTCCTACACAAAGTCCATAACCCACGCACTACAGCTGGCCCTAGGCAGACCTGCTCAGGGCCAGGCCCCTGTGCAGCAACAGGCTGGTTTTGAAGTCAGACATGATTAGGATGGTATTATGTGCTGTAATGCCTAAGTGAAGAGGCGGTAACTGATTTATCTGGCATGAAGAGCAAAACCAAGCTTAAGAATTATTACAAGAGTACTGTGACAGCAGCAGCTGACCTGGTTTGTCTTTCTCCATGTGCCAGCACCTGTGCAGACAGGCCCACACTTAGTATCCCATTACTTCACTGAGGCCTGAGACTCTGAGAGGTGAAGTAACTCGTCAGACCTCTTCCAGCCTAAGCCATGGAGCTAGTAAATGAGGACCCAGGTTGTCTGGATTCCAAAATTCAAGCTCTTAGCTACACTTTTTGCTTTATGCTTTCACATGCATCAAGCCCGTTCCACTGGCATAAATCCACAGCAACTCCACTGTTAAAGCAGCAAGTGGGGGCTGAATACTGCTATTCACAGCCCTGAAGATCAACACAGAAATTACCAGCCCATCACTACTTTCTAGAATAACCCTGCCTTCCTCCTGAGCTTCCTCTGCTAAGTGGCAAGTTAAAGAAGGGAGGAAAATCTATAAAACAAAAATGAAAGATGTATATATAAAGCAAAAATTTTAAGGCACACATCTTGACACTAATTTTTAACAAGTACCTTCAAATACGCCGCTCCCTCCCCCACTCCGTTCTCAGCAATCTAATAATGCCCCTACCTCCTAAATCAAGACCTGATAAATGAAAGATGCCCTAAACAAATAGGAAAGCTGCACCCTTATTTCACCTAAGACTACAGAATGAGAAAGCAGTTAATGTATCACCCGTCATTAAAATCTCAAGTGGAACTTACTTCTCAGGCGATTCTGAGTGGCTCATGCGCTTCCTTCCTGACACGTACACATCATCCTCGTTTTCATCCACATCTTCATCATCGATGCTTTTTACATCAAGCTTTTGGTACCCAAACTCCCCATTCAAAGACAGTGAATCGATTTTCCACGAGTTGCTGCTCTGGCTTCCATTGGAATTAGGCCCAAAGGGGCTTTCAAAGGCCGACATGATATTGACTGAGGAGCGGTCAGAGTTCTCCTCTGAGCTCTCCCCAGTCCCAGGTATCTTTTTAAAACCATCGCCAGCATTCTGCTCACCATCCTCATCATCAAATGAGATAACGTTGGTCACCTTCTTTTTCTTCTTCCGTTCCTTTTTACATTTGGAATCTGACAAAAGACAAGAAGCAAGATAAGGGGATGATCCAGCCATAGTGATTCTGGGTGGTGGAAAACCCTCTACTACTCTACTGACAAGTAAACTGTAAGCTAAACTCAGGTATTTTTTAAATCCTTGGTAAAACATCTGTTTACAGAACACTAAGCAAAATGGACCTCTACTTCTGATTTAAACAATTTTTAGATATATCTCTTCAAGCAAAGGAAACAAAAGAAAAAACTAACAAATGAGAATACATTAAAACTAAAAAGTCTTTACCCAGTGAAGAAAACCATCAACAAAACAAGAAGACAACCTACTAAATGGGAGAAGATATCCACCAATGACATATCTGATGAGGGATTAATATCCAAAATATATAAGGAACTCATACAACTTAACACCAAAAACCAAATAGTCAAATTAAAAATTGAACAGAGGGCCTGAATAGACATTTCTCCAAAGAGGATGACAGATGGCCAATAAACATATGAAAAGATTTTCAATAAAAGATTTTTTATTGATGCCTGTCATCAATAAAAAACAAACAAGTGTTGGTGAGAGTGTAGAGAAAAGGCAGCCCTGACACACTGTTGGTGGGACTACTAACTGGTGCAGCCAATGTGGAAACAGTACAGAGTTACCTCAAAAATTAAAAAATATAACTACCATATGACCCAGCAATTCCATTTCTGAAAAATTCTAAAATACAAATTCAAAAAGATACATGCGTCCCAATGTTCACTGCAACATTATTTATAATAGCCAAGATATGAAAACAACCTGAATGTCCACCAAGAAACAGACAAATAAAAAAGTATGCAGTACATATATATAATGGAACATTACTCAGCCATAAAAAAGAATGAAAACTGACCATTTGTGACAATATGGATGGACCCAGAGGGTATTATGCCAAGTGAAATAAGTCAGAGAAAGACAAATACCATATGCTTTCACTTATATGTGGAATATAAAAAATAAAACAAAAAAAACAACAAACAAAACAGAAGCAGACTCATAGATAGAGAACAAATTGTCAGTTGTCAGAAAGGTGAAAGGTGAGAGGATGGTTGAAAATAGTGAAAGAGATTAAGTAGTACAAATTGCCAGTTACAAAAATAGTCACGGGGATGTAAAGTACAGCAGAGGGAATATATTCAATAATATTATAATAATTATGTATGGAGCCAGATGGGTACCAGACTTACTGGGGGTGATCACTTCCTAAGGTATATAAATGTTTAACCTATGTGTATACCTGAAATTAATATAATATTGTATGTCAACTGTAATTGAAAAATAAATTTAAAATATATACCACAGATCAAGCACTTTGATTCAAAGCACTTTGAATATCCTTCCAAGAACTTTGATTTAAAGAATGTTATCATTAATAAAATGATTTTCATTGTTTCACTTGAGAATGGGAAAATATTCTCATTGCTGGCAGATGAAACCAAGAAAATTTGTTTGGGGTTGCAGTCAATTGTTTGATGACCACAAATCCCTCCCATCCCTGCATAAGCCCCTTTGCAATGGGGCTTTACTCCGCCCTCGAGGGAAGTATCTATTTCTCCACCCTCTTGAATCTGGGCTGGCTTAGTGTTCTGCCTTTACCAATGGAATGTAACAGAAATAACAGTGTATGAGTTCTAGAGTTTAGGCATCAAGAGGTCCTACAGCCTCTTGAAATCCTGCCCTAAAAGTACCATGGAAGAAAACTGATTTAACTTATTGGAGGATAAGAGGCCATGTGTAGAAAAACTGAGATGCCCCAGCCAATAGTCAGTACCAACTCCAGACACACGAGTGGGGCCATCTTGGATCTTCCAGCTCAGCCACCAGCTCAGTGCAGCCCCATGAGTGAGCCCAGGTAACACCAGCAGAAGAACCATCTGCCAAGCCACAGAATCATAAAAAATAAATAAATAAATAAATCATGGTTGTTTTAGGCCACTACATTTTTGGAACTGTTTGTTACACAGCAAAGTCAAACGAAAACAGAAGTTAAGACTGTCTTGGGGATGAGTACTTAGACAAGCCAGTTTGTTCACTCATCTTAATCATCAAACTTGGGTGTGAGACACTTTGAATTGATTCCCAAAACTCCATTCCATCTAAACCAAGGTATGACATGCTTTACCAGTGTACTACAACCCTGAGACGATTTCAAAAGCAGGGTCCCCAAGATGAATGGAAAGACTACTGCTTTGGGTAAACAAATTCCATTGCCTCTACTACACAAAGCCCTCAACAGTCTTTTTTCCCTATTCTTCACTTGGGGTCTCGGCTGGGTCCCCAGCCAAGAAGGAAAAGGAGAAGGAGAGGGCAACAGAGAAAGCCAGTGTGTACCAAAGACACCATGAGACTCTGAACTTTCACCATCATGACTAATCCCCAAAGAGATTACTGAGATTACTGCCTTGTTTAAGGGCTTTGAGAACACTAAATACTAAACCAAAAATTTCCAATTTTGCTGTAGCAACATTCTGTATGTCCAGAAGGCCCAAGAAATGTTCTAAATGCATGACAAAATTAATCTTAATTAATTAATTAATTAATCAATCCCTTTTCCTGGCCTCCACTTAAATGTCTTCCCCCACCAAAAAAGGCAAGCCCAATAATATAAACTTTCCACAACATCCTATGCTTCGTTTCTATACCAATTATCAGAAGGATAACTAACTATCTGTATAATTTGTCATTAAATGTCTACCCTTATCCATCCCAAAGAAGACTGAAAGCCAAATGCTGGTAATCTCTCTTATTTGGCTCACTGACTGGCACACAGAATGCATTAAGTGAACAAATAAATGAGTGGACAAAAGAATAAATGAATGAAAATCAACCTCATTTGACTTTCACGTGGCCATCACACCCTTCCTTTCAGTTTTCTCTGAGTGAGCTCCTTGCTCTTTTACCCTATCATCTTCCCATGTAGGTAAGGCTCTCAGGTCCCTTTCAGAGTAAGTGTAAAAAATAAATAAAAACAAGCATGAACTAAAAATGCAAATGCAAATCAGATTTCATTCCCCTTGGCACTTCCAGGTGAGGAGGTGCACCCTCATCAGCCACGGTCTGTAGCCCTTTGCCCAAACCCCTCAACCTCCTGTTCCGGCTCACCGGCACTGATGTGCTTGGGCATGACAGGTAGGGGGTCGGTCTCCTGATCAGGTTTGATGAGGATGGAGACAGCAGAGGATGCCGTGATCTCCCTGAATAGGCTGCTCACTCCTTGCGTGGACTCCTTCAGCAAGGAAGTCACATTCTGCGTTGACTCCTTTAAGAGGTCTGAGACTGTAGGAGCAAACTTACTCTGCCCATTTAAATCCTTGTTGTCAATGTTGATCGCGAAGAGTATGGAGTTCAGACCTTGTGCAAAAAAGAAGAAGTCTGGAGTGCATGCTGTTGAACAGAGTCACACCTCCAACAGGATAAGTTGCAGACACTATACAACGCAGGAGGGTACACAGTGATTTTCTTTAAAGATTTTATTTATTTTTAGAGAGAGGAGAACAGAAGGAGAACGACAGGGAGAGAAATAGTAAAGTGTGATTGCCCCTCATGCGCCCCCTACTGGGGACCTGGCCTGTGGCCCAGACATGTGCCCTGACCGGAAATCAAACAGGCAACCCTTTCATTTGCAGGCCAGCACTCAATCCACTGAGCCACACCAGCCAGGGATGATCTTAAACATTGATTAGCATGTCCAAGAACTGTGCTCAGTACACATTAGCAACCATAGGAGCTCAGTCATTCTAAATTCTCTTCTTATCTGTTAAAAAAGAGGTTAAGCCATAAATTCAGAGGTCAGGCTACCTAGATTGAATCTCAGCACTGCCACTTATAAGCTATGAGACCTTGGTCAAGCCATTTATAACCTCTCTGAGCTTTAGTTCTTTGTCTGTAAAATGGGTACACAATCTCTTTCACAGGGAAGTATTAAAGACCATCACCCACCAAAATCACTCAGCTCAGTAAGCAATCACAAAAGGCACACCAATGTCATTATTATTACCTACGGAAAAACGTGCACTGGTATCCAATGGCTAAGAGAGGAAATCATGGTCGAACCCTGACTCTCATCAATGAACTAGACTAATGTAACTCTCAATATGTGGGACTTGGTGTAAACTTTCAGGCAAGGGAAAAAACAGAGGCAATGAAGGATCGGAAAGAAAGCAGCAAGCTATCCACTCCTGTCGGAGTGTTTCTCCCTTTGAGTGATGATAAACAATTTAACGATTCTCCAACTGACATCGTTGCAGGGCTTGCATGTTGGCAAATGGTGCACATGACTCTCCGTCACATCAGACTCTCTCACAGCCCAATAAAGGTGATCGCTGTGCCATCACAATTCCCACCTCACAGAGGAGGAAAGGCGAGGGACAAAGTTCATAGGGTCTGTCCCAGGTCACCAGCCAGTGCGGGGTCGAGTCAGGCTTCAAAGGCAGGTCTCCTGCCTCTAGTTCCCCAGTCTTTAAATTACACTTGCAAAGCCACAGCCAAAAACCCTCATCCCCGTGCTTTTCCTGCCGAGGTATCAAACTCTAGATAAAGGGACTTAATGCTCAATACCATTCAAAGAAGGACAGTTACAAGTAACTCATTAAGCCACTGGGGGACAGGGAAAATTACAGCATCCCTTTGAGTTACAAATTCACTCCCAAGCAGCCTCCTCTGCTCTCCAAGCTTTACAAGCCCCATCATTCCCAGCCTTGCCCAGACTTACCAGCTGCCATGGTAGGAAGCATGCTAGACCTTTCTTCATCCATCACAAAAGACCAGTCTTCATAAAAAGTGCTGCAAATTGAAAGAGAAAGGGAGAAGGCGCTGAATAGAGGTTCTTTGAGTCCATTAGGCAGATAATTCCATTATATGGCTTCGTGGAAAACCCATGCCTGGTCATCACAGAGTGAGTACAGGTGGTCTCTGCTGCGCTGAAGCTTCTAGTTATAAACTAAGGATTGACTGCATATATCCTATGACTTCCTCGTTAGTCCCCAGAGATCTTTAGAGTCCCGTAAGCTTGAGAGTACTGAAATAGGCATGAGATGTAAATGCGGTGTTGATGAAGCAGGAAAGCAGAAGGGGACAAACAGAGAAGAGATTTCCACTCAAGCAAGGTCTCCAAAAGACAGACAGGATGTCCAAGCTGGCCCACGGGGCTCCCTTGATTGAGCTAACACAAGAAGAGAACATTTCAGGAAGAAATTCTAGAGCTCCATGGCTCCATCAACCAAGGCATATGTATGTAATACCTGTTTGGGCTGTAAACCCAAAAGCCCAAGTTATCTTAGGAAGGGCTGGAAAGCTAAGAAAGCCCCACAAATCTAAGTGGAGAGAAGGGGCCAGAGAAGTCTACAAGGTCTGTTTAAGGTCAGCCAGCATTAAATGGAGCTCAAAAGCAGGTGGCCAAGTCCAATTCCCCAGCTCTTTATCCAGTCCCCTGCTAAGCAGTAACAAGCAAATAGCCTCAACCCCCACCAGGTCAGAGAACTCGGAACATGTGGAGTCAAAGTTAAGTTTCACTAAAGCAGAGTCAGTGGTGAGTGACCTGTAGTTCAGCAGGAGACTGGACACAGCTGCTGAAGAGACTGGATACAACTAACAGGAAGAGAGGAGAGATGCATTGTTTTCAATATGCCTACTCCACAGAATGTCAAGAGAAGCACAAGCCTCAAGTCCACTCTGGCACTGCAAAATGACATCTGATTCCCAAAATTTTGATTCCTTAAAAATCTGAATCAGTTTTCCTGCATGTAAATGAATTAGGTTTTCCCACATCTAGGTAGATAGGTGACTAGTGACTTATGGAAATTCGACTGTGATCCTTCAACTGGATTCAACTGTGAAATTCAGCTGGATTTACTTCAACTGCTCATTGTTAAAGTCCTTTGATGTTGAGCTACTTGCAAATGATGTGGTGGGGCGGGCTTGACGGAAGTTCATTTTTAGGAACACGAGTATGTTCTGGTAACTAAAGCTGGTGAATGCTCAGAAGGTATGTATAGGCATTTGGCCCAGACCTCGGGCAACACACAGGTGGCACCAGTCATCCTGACCCATCCCTTCCATTTTGCACCCACAGAGTTGAACATACAACTGGACAAAGCATCACAGGCAACATCCATGGGAGAACTTCAAGGGTAAGAGCCCTAGCACACAATCCCAGAATGCCTAACAAAGTATCAGTAGAGAAGTGACCATAAGGGGCAGAAGGAACAGAAGGAGATTTGAGTCAGAGAACGCAGGGCAAGATATAAAATCACAGGAATGTATCATAGCACTAATGAAATGCCAGCTTCTTGAAGCAAATGAAATTTCACTGTTGAGGATATGGGCACTGCTGATGTAGAGGTTATTCAAGGAAGAAGGTCATCAGATGACACAAAACTACACGTCTGGTCCACCATTCTCAGAGGCAAAATAATAGCCAAGGTCAGAAAGAGAGACTGGGAGAGAGAGAGCAACATCATAAACATCCTGAGTACAGGAAAAATGACAGGACTGTCCATGTTTTGAAGAAGATGTGGCTGCCTGTACTATCAGTGATGCACATTCAGCGCCCTCTCCCCATCACTGTGGTAGTAATCATATCTCCCCACCCTGCTGAGCTTGCCTATAGCCGTGTGACTTGCTGGCCAGTGAAATGTGAATGGAGGTGAGGCATCACTTTGGGCAGAAGCTTTAAGAGCCAGTGCTTAGTTCAACCATTATCCCCATAGAAAGGGAGCTTCCGTCAGCCTGGGTCCCTGAGACAAGAATCCCTACTCACCCCTGATAGACATGAAGCAGAAAAAAGAAACAAACTTGCCTGTGTCAAGCCACTGTGGTTTTGATAATGTTTGTTATGGCAGCAAAACCTGGCCTATGCTACCTGACAGAGTGAACCTTATGATCAAGAAAAATATATATAATAAAATGGGGAGGGATGTTATAATAACAAATGACTTCTCTCCATAACTTAAAATGTATGTACTCTTTCAATCAGTTTGGTATTCATTAACCTCAAAAAAAAACAGCAGAAAGAGCTGTAAAGACAAAACATGAAATTGAGCACTAAACACCCAATATCTAAAGGGAAAGAACTTCTGAATCTGAAAGAAGACCAAATTAAAATTCCATGGCATGAAGACCAGGCTGTGTCCTATGACAATGGCTCTCTCCACACCCCCAGCCTTAATAATAGTGAGCATTTATTGAGTGCTTGCTAACGCAGATGGTATGCTGAGCCCTTTACAGGCCTTCTCTCATTTAACAAACTACGGTTGTGAGAGGGGAACCCAGTTGCCCAAGATGTGGGAAGTGGGTGCAAATCCAAGCAACTGATTCCAGATTCTGTGATTTTAACTACTCGCCTACAACCCCTCCCAGGAGCCCAGTCACATACCTGAGCCTGCTGCGGTCAGCCAGGAGCATATGCAGGTAGCGCTCTAGTGAGTGTTCATTGAGGGCACAGCGCAGCCAGGCCCGGCCACGGCCCACATCCAAGGTGATGTGACGCAGGGAATAGAAGCGCTGCAGCTCGTGCTTGCTGAGGACCTCCTTCACATAGAACCAGAACACGGGCTCTGGAGAGACAGTGGAACAGGTGCTGTGGCACTCAGCCTGGGGCACGTACCACTTTTAGAGTAACATTCCCTGGGCATCATTGAGGACTGGAAAAGTTACTTCCTTGGCACAGAAAAGGAAGATAGCAAAGAGATTACTCAAAATAAAAATGAGCCCCAAATCTACCACCCAGAGATGGCCATTGTTTACATTTTCAAGTACTTCCTTGCAGTCTTTTTTCCTGCACCTTTCTTTTTTATATAAAATCAATATTCATGATAGGTGGATTATAAGCCCCAAAAATAGTCAGGTCTTAATTGATAAAACACGTGAATAGTAGTTCAGATGGCAAAAGATACTTTGCATATATGATTCAATTAAGTATCCTGAGGAGAGTTAATAATTTTTCTACATAGTCTTCATGGGCCTTCATGTAACTTGATCATCTCAAGTGCCTTTACAAGAGGGAGGCAGACATAGAAGAGAAGGTGATGTTATCAGTGGAAAATCAGTTCTTGTGGGATCATAATTTCCTAAGAGCCAAATAGGAGGATGGGGATCTGTGTTATGATTTATTGATGATGTAAAATTAAGGTAGTTCCCTTCCTGAATTTCCAATGTCCTGTCTCTATCCACCTCATCATGGAAAAGTTCCAGTCTTGTCTTCAGCAAGGCCAAACCAAAAGCCGGTGTCCAGAGTTTGTGCTCCACATCACAGTCCAGTCCAACCCAGCATCAGCTGGTGTAGAGTGTCTGTCCGGCTGCAGTCCACCACTGTGCTGTGGTATGCAGGCTCCCTCCTGGAGCCTGTGTGTGGAGGCGGCACGGCCACGGGCCACGCAGCCACTAAGGCCTCCTGACTATGGAGAGAAGACACATGAGCGCATGGGGAAAACACAGGTCATCCAGATGACAGAGAGAGAGAATTCTCTGTTTCACTGAAGTGACAACCAGAAGCTTCGGTTTGGGATGGACCAGGTGTCTTTTCCAAAGAATCAATCAACTTCCCAAGCTCTGGGCTTGCTCTGGACTTTGGATGGGTTTATACCCCCGAGTTAGACTGACAGGCCTCTTTGGTCATTCACCTCCCACTGGGCCCCCAACACTCTGGTACTGGAGGGGGGAAGGGAGAAATGGAGAAATGTTAAACCCCTTGGTGGAGCAATGTTGTAATCCCCTGGGGTGTGGAGCTGTAGCTTCCTGGTGAAGCAAACAGGTTCATGCTCCCCCAGTTTATTAAGTTCACTCAGTGTTCACCCAGTTTATTAAGTTCAATATCTAGTTCCTTGCTACTCTTTTCTTTTTTGAAAGATTTTATTTTTTTATTTATTTATCTTTAGAGGGGAAAGGAAGGAGAGAGGGAGAGAAATATCAATGTATGGTTGCCTCTCATGCGTCCCCTGCTGGGAACTGGCCTGCAGCCCTGCAACCCAGACATGTGCCCTGACTGGGAATCAAACCATGATCATCTGGTTCGCAGGCTCAATCCACTGAGCTATAAGAGCCAGGGCCTCCTTTTCATTTTTTTCTTTTTTAAATAAGTAGCTAAATACCAGCCAGGGCCTCCTTTTCTTTTTTTTTTTAATAAGTAGCTAAATGCCAATGGTAACAATGTAACCAGGGAAGCAGAGACCTGAGTAATGGAGCCAGCCTTAGCCAAAGAATGCCAGAAACCGCCAAAGCTGAAAGAGGCAAGGAACGGATTCCCCCTGGTCCCTCCAAAAGGAACCAGCCCTGCTGTCACCTTGACTTCAGCCAGGTGAAACCGACTTTAAATCCAGCCCTCTGTAAGTGTGAGAAGATGGATTTGTGTTGTTTTCAGCCATTAAGCTTGTGGTAATTTGTTATAGCAAGTAATTTATTGGGAAGAACTAATACACCATAATGTTGTATGTGTTGTGTATGTGTACATATGGATACATATGCATATATGTAAATATATACACACACACAATTTTGTACTCTAGTTTGTTTCTTCCCTTCCATATATGAACATTTTCCTGTAACATTTAAAGATCTCCTGAAACATGGCCTCCCTGTTAATTTAACTATTGCTCTACAGCTAGGAACATGATATATTGCCACTTTCCTCCACATACTGTTTTGACCATCCATGTACATAACTAACTGTCCCCATTTCTAATTGCTTAGGAGTGATTTCCATAGGTCTGAGAATACAAACAGATTTCTAGATCTGTTTTCTAGGAAAAGCTAATAAAGTTTGTTTTTATCCATAAAATAGTCATTGCACATCCCCCCTTTTTTACCCATACCCACACAGATTTTTTCTAGTTGTAATTCTGATGTATATCTAATTTTGTGATCAGTTTTCTTTACTCAACATCAACACTTTTTCTTGCTGCCAATAATAGTAACAATAGCAACAGCCAGTATTATTTATTAAGCATTACTACATACCAGTTATTGCACTAAACACTGTACACCTGACTTCAGTCCTCACAACCACCAAGGTGATCTCCATGTCAAAGACAAGGTCCAAGGCCTAAACAAGTGAAGTAACTCACATAGCAATTCAAAGTCAGTAAGCAATACAGCAAAATGGGATCTCAGAGCTGTCGAACTTTAAACCACAAAATCATACTGCCTTGCAAAGCAAGGAGGGCATCTAAATTCTTTAACATGATCGTGTCCACAAATGCTTAATATCCTAAAGGAGAAAATGCTGAGTCTGCTGCCAGACAGGGATTCTAACCCAGGGGCTAAACAAACACACAGACCCCTCTGCAAATGTTCAGATGACAAGATCTTTGAACCCTGCCTCCAGAAGGATGCACATACATACATCTCCATAAACCGGATGCCAGGTTAGTAAGCTCACTTTAATATTTCCGCTCACCTAGCCTTCTAAACAGGAGCCATGAACTGGGCACCACTATGGGCTACCAGGCAGAATTGGGTGCCACTATAGGCTACCATAACAAGCTTTAAGACCAGTGGGCAAGACAACAGGTGAAGAGATTGTTCATTAGAATGACCTTTGCCAAATCACTCAGCCATGCTAAGCTTTGGACTCCTTTCCCTTAGTATAAGCCTCAAAGTACAGAATCTCTTGGGTTACTGGTATAACTGGAGAAAAGGAGGGTAAAGTGCTAAGCACGACACCTAGTCCATGATGACTAACCATTGTTTACTTAATAATTACCTTCTTATATGAGCATATATATTGCTTACTGTCTTCCTTTTTCTGTTAACAGCATCTAAATGTCTATATACATGAGTGTGCATACATATTTGTGGATCATGCCAATCTCTGGCATCGTTTACAATAAACGTCCCAAGAACAACTGAGAAAACCACCAACAGAGCAGTTCACTCAGAACAACCTTGTGTCTCGATGCCTAGATGCCAAACCAATCCCCTTCCCACACCCAAACTGCACAAGGACGGTAACAGCCTTCTTTCCACTCAAAGCCTCGCTCAGAAATCAGAACATGGGGAATCAGTGAGAGCAATACTCTGAGTGGGCCAGCCCACAAACCCATTTTGAAACACACCTGACAACATCTGGATATCCATCAGGATTCAAGTCAAGCGACTCTCATCTGTAATCTCCCTTTCTTGAAAACTGCAGACTTCCGCCAAGATGGAAGCACAGGTGGAGATACCGTGCTTTCTCCCACAACCAAGTTGAGAGACAACAAAATATTAGCAACAGAAAACACAGCCAAACACAGAAAATTGAACTTTTCGGAAGTCTGATAACAACAAATTCTTCAGCCTGACCAGTAAGAGAGGCGAAGCCAGCAGCTGGTGGAGCGGGGTTGCACAGGAAAACTCAGTCAGACGGACTCAGGCACGAGGATCCCAGGCATGGGGTTGCAACGGGCAGACCCAGTGAGAGACCCAGTGAGCGACCGGTGTACCTAGCAAGGGCGCAGGGCGGGGGGTTGACTGTGGTCGCGCATTCGTGCGCAGATAGACCAGCGAGGGAGTGGGCAGTGAGACAACGGGACCGAGCAGGCCCCAGCGTGAGAGGCAGCAGAGGGGGCCGCCATTTTCCCGCTCTGACCGCGCCACCACATACAGCATCACAAACCAGCAACCTGGGCGGCCCCGCCCTGGTGAACACCTAAGGCTCTGCTCCTCATAATTAACAAGCACGAACAGACCAAAAATGGCTCAAGAAGATCTCAAAGCCTCAGAGCCCATAAATCTAAGCAATGAAGAAATAGCAAAACTTTCAGATGCACAATTCAAAACACTGGTGATCAGGATGCTCACAGAACTAATTGGTTTTAGTCACAAATTAGAGGAACATATGAAGGCTAAACTAATTGAAATGAAGGGAATTACACAGGAAACCAATAGTGATGAAGAGGAAACTGGGACTCAAATCAAGGGAGTGAACCAGAAGGAAGAAAATAATGGCCAAACACAAAAATATGAAGAAACAAGAATTCAAAAAAATGAGGAGAGGCTTAGGAACCTTCAGGACATCTTTAAACATCCCAACATCCAAATTATAGGGGTACCAGAAGGGGAAGAGGAAGAACAACAAGTGGAAAACTTATTTGAACAAATAATAAAGGAGAACTTCCCCAATCTGGCAAAGGAAATAGACTTCCAGGAAGACCAGGAAGCTCAGAGTCCCAAAGAAGCTGGACCCAAGAAGGAACACACCAAGGCACATCATCATTACATTAGCCAAGATTAAAATGAAGGAGAAAATCCTAGAAGCTTCAAGAGATAAGGGGACAGTCACCTACAAAGGAGTTCCCATCAGACTGTCAGCGGATTTCTCAAAAGAGACATTACAGGCAAGAAGGGGCTGGAAAGAAATATTCCAAGTCATGAAATCCAAAGACGTACATCCAAGATTACTCTATCCAGCAAAGCTTTCATTTAGAATGGAAGGGCAGATAAAATGCTTCTCAGAGAAGATCAAATTCAAGGAGTTCATCATCACCAAGCCCTTATTATATGAAATGTTAAAGGGACTTATCTAAGAAAAAGAAGATAAAAAAGATGAACAGTGAAAGGACAGCAAACGCACAGTTAT